ATAGCTGACATATTCGAGCAGGTAATAACTCTGTGCTTCAAAATTTTTCTTTCAGGATTACGGTATATGTTGCTTACCTTCAACGTGTTCTAATTCTCAGCTTGAGAGTAAAATTGCCCCTGGCTCCACCTATGGGCAATTGTTCTATTCCACGGCTTTAGGCTTCACAGACCCTGAGACTAACCAAGAGAAAAATATTCTCGTCAAGTTGTGTGGTTATGGCTCCGCTATCACTGCTCTCATCGAAAATCATGTATACTTAGTCTCGGGAAGACTCATTCCTAGGAACATTAAGTCTACTCCTGTGTTTCACTATGATTCAGACATGATCGTCGATCTTGGTGAATCTACCAAATTCACTCAGTCCATGTGCGAAAAAACTTCTGTCATCGGCTTAGGTATTGTCCTTACAAAAAAAGAAATAAACGGCCCGGATACCACCTCCAGTTCTGGTAGCAAAATTCTGCAAGTCATTATGCAACATACTGACTACGATCCTGTGGTTGGTTTAGTCCCTCTTCTGCTATAAATATAATTCGCTGACATGTCACTTTCTTAGGCCAAAGCTCAGGTTGAATTTAAAACTATGTATCATATCGGAGGCCGGAAAAATTTGGCAAACACCTTTGGCCTCTTTCAACTCAGTCGTGAAATCCTCATTTCTGGCAACATTGTCGGCTACACTGAGCAGGACTACATGTGGATTGTTGCTGTACGTTCCTTGCAAATTCTGTCTCGTATTTCACATTTCATTGACCGCCTCACATTACCCTACACTATCCTACAGGCTATTTCTGTGTCAGTCACTTCGGGTCATCAATCAAACGTTAGTCAGCTAAGTCGACCGAGCGAAAGGCCGCAACCATACACTCGCCGCCCTGGACTGTCAGTTTATTCTATTTTACTTGCCCTCGACTTATTCTGACAGTAATCGCCTTATTTCAGAATTTTGATTGAGGACTCTTCACCTGCTGAAGGTTCTTCTTTGTCTCCAAACAACTATGGTATTGGACCCTCCGATCGTGACAACATGGCTGAACCTGAGCCATTTCCGAATCTTTCAACCGATTTGCCTGATGTCTCAAATGACAACTACTACGAATCTATTCCCTCTACTACGGGAAAGAAAAGGACTAAAAGAGCTATCTTAGCTGATGCCAAACGTGCTGCTAAGGCATCGACCTCTTTGACTCCATATTGACAAACCCTCCTGCATTTTTTTCAAAATACTAAATCTTCAATCATTGTGTATCGTAGACCTCATGCACATTTCCCATGGCCTGACCCTCTGTTATATCCAATATTCGTATTTTCCTCTTCTCTGTCCACCGATTGATATAGACAATCTTGTTCCCGGCCCCCCACATTTTCAGCACTCGCAATGAATTCTAAACTATTCAGTTCCCACCAATGTTACAATGACCCCTTGTCCTAAGCATAGCCCAATTGAGATTTTAACTTGGTATAAGTATTTCATCTCAGCTTGACTGTTTGATACACAGCTCAACTCGAGAGAGTAGCGCCTTAAACACCACCCCGCACCTAGGTCTTGAATTACTCCTGCCATTACATTATAATTAATCCGAATGGTTGTTCAATCACAAGGAAAGACTAAACTCAGTCGTCGACCAAGTCTAACACCTCGTGATGTTACTCGATCCTTAACTGAGTCGTGTTGACCAAAGACTGTTCTTTTCATTTCCTTGGCCTATAACTCGGAATCAAGTGAGACTCCAACCCATCTAAGTCTAAGCTTTCCAACTAGGAAGTGTTCCGCTATCTTTTGTTTTACTCCTAAATATGGAAAAGCTCATTGCATAGTTTGACTCAAATATGTCCCTATTTATTACCAACTTCTCATTTCTATATCCGGTTGGACAAGTGTTCTGTGCCAATAGACAGATCAGGAAAAGGTCATATGGACGATAACAATCAATCTACGCAATGATATATTCTTAAACCGGTCGTACTCTCAATTATTGATACTGTTCCTTAACCAGGTCATCGCAAGATGAGTTCTCTTCAACCTGACACCTACGCTCTTAATTCAATTTCGCCCTGACTTTGCCTTTGACTCTGCATTATTTTAATAGATCTTTACCGACAACAGCTTTGCTCTACCTACTCTTAAATACCCCGGCCTTAAATCATACTCTCAACCCAGTACTTGGCCTCTGTCTCATGGATTCTCAATCATATTTGGCAGCTTCTACCCCAGAGCAAAATAATGAATATCAATTGAAATCATCTTTCCCCGGCATGTTCCCCCATTTCATGGGATCCTATTCAGATTCCTGCCTCAGTTGTGGTGCCATACACTGGAAGTGCGAAAGAACTGGTAATGACAAAAGAGCTCCACGCACTTCTTACTCCATGTGTTGTCAGAAAGGACATGTGACCCTACCCGCAACTTACAGCGGTTCGAATTATCCATCATTCTTGCGACATCTTCTTACGAAGACCGACTCTTGTAAGTCATAAGCTTTTTCATAATCTCTAAGGCTCTACTTAACATAAATACCCAGGTTCAATTGCGTTTCAGCGACACATCCGGAGTTATAATAATGCTCTTTCTTTCGCATCGCTTGGAGCTACCGTCGATGAAGAAGTTCAGGGAAAAAAAGGTGTCTATACTTTCAAAATTTCAGGAACACTATTCCATAACCTACCAGAAGAGATTCCAACATCAAAAGATGAATCGAAATTCGCTCAAATATATGTTATTGGTGGCAATGACGAGAAAGAGGCCGCAATGCGCAAACACAAATGCGGAGGCTCGGTCGATTCTAGGATTTTATTGGATCTTCAACAATGGATTAGCCAGCATAATTCCTACGCAAAGTTTTATCGCACGGTCAGACAAGAACTCGCAATTAACCCGGCCGCTACTTTTGTCTTAAAGGCCCTAAATAACCCGACTCACAATCAAAATACCTATAATCAGCCTCGAGTTGACGAAATCGCTATCGTGTTAGAATCCTATGATGAAGAAAAAATTGGCCCAAGAGATATTGTTCTTCATAAGCTGAACGGCGGAATTAAGCGAATCACCGATATGTTTCCGGGCTATCTTGCCCTCCGATTTCCAATCTTTTTTCCTCACGGAGAACAGGGATGGGTTCCAGACTACATCCCTAACAGTCACATAGGTTAGTACACTTCTCTAAAACTGCTATTAAATACTGAATTAATCTTTTGGATAACAGGGCGAAAAATTACTCAAGACGAATGGTATTCATCAATGTGTTTCGAGAAAGTTTCTCAATTCTCCGCCATTTTACATGGTAAATCCTTATTCCAAGAACTCTTAGTCGACATGTACGTATGCGTCGAGCGTGCACGGCTGGACTTCATCCGTCTTAACCAGAAAAAGCTGAAGGCCGATTTGTACAAGGCTGTAGAGGAATCAATTCATAACGAAACCGACGTGGAGGGTCGTCGTGTTATACTGCCCTCGACCTTTGCAGGCTCACCTAGGAATATGGCACAGCTTTATCAAGATGCCATGGCGTTATCTAGAGAATTTGGAAGGCCTGCTCTATTCATTACTATGACCGCAAATCCAAAATGGAGCGAGGTCACAGAAGCGCTCCCTATCAATCATAAACCCAGCGACAGGGCGGATCTCATAGCTAGAATTTTTCATTCGAAGAAGACTTCATTGCTCGATGATATCGTCAATGGATCCTTTCTCGGCAGAGTTGCGGCCGTTGTTCATACAGTTGAATTCCAAAAAAGAGGCCTTCCTCACGCCCACATCATGGTCATGCTCCATCCCTCGGATATCCCCAGAACAATCGCAGCTGTGGATTCAATCATATCTGCAGAAATCCCAGATCCACAAAAAGAACCTGACCTATATGAAATTGTGACAAGGAACATGTTGCACGGTCCATGCGGTGTTAAATCCAACTGCTGGAAAGACGGCTACTGTAAATACGGGTATCCTAAACCATTTCGCCCCGAAACAGAAATTACCGAGGACTCATATCCTGACTACAGAAGACGGGACCAAGGAATTTCGGTACGGAAGATGGGAATGGAATTCAACAATTCGCACGTTGTTCCATACAACAAATTTCTTCTTCTGCGCTATGATTGTCACATAAATGTCGAGATCCCGTTCACCATATGAGCCATGAAATATTTATTCAAGTACATATGCAAAGGTGTCGATCGATCCTCAATGAAAATCATGGATGGAGATGAGGTTCAGCGCTTTGTTGAAGGCCGTTATATTGGTCCTTCCGAAGGTGTGTAGCGCATGAGTCTATTCCCTGGACAGTATCTGATGCTGTTTCTTCTATTAGCTGCGTATTGATTGTTCCAGTTTCCCATGAACGGGCGATATCCGTCTGTCCAGAGACTAGCTCTACATCTAGACAAACAACAACAAATATTCTACCTCGATTCAGAGATGGTTAGGCGTTCTTTTGAGTCTGGAAAAGCGGACCAAACAACCTTAACAGAATACTTCAAGCTTTGTCAAACAAACATTGCAGGATTAGGCGTGAAGGCAAAGGATTGCCTTTATCAGGACCTGCCAAAGTACTTTTGGTGGACTGATGATAAACGATGGCAACCTCGCGTCAAGACTTCAGATGCTGTTGGGAGGATTTACTTTGCTGCAATATCCGAAGGCGAACGCTATTTTCTGCGTCTTCTCCTGGCTAATAAACGAGGCCCGAAGAGTTATCAAGATCTACGCACTGTCTCAGGTCAGGTTCATACGTCTTTTCGAGCAGCGGCTGAGGCGATGGGTCTTTTAGCAACAGATGAACATTACGCAGCAGCTATACAAGAAGCGTCTTGTTGGATGCTGGGTTCTGCTTTGCGCGCCATGTTCTGCATTATTCTGGTTCATTCACCTCCGTCTAACCCCAACAAACTACTCGAATGCTTCATAGACGAATTAGGAGATGACTCGGAATACACCTTGTCTACAGGAACTCGTCGGTCACAACAATTTAGCCCTGAATACGTTAGATCGTTTACTTTATTTCAGCTACACAATCAGCTCACAAAATACGATAAAAAATTTGAAGATGTCGGTTTGGACCGGCCTGATGACTCAAAATGGGCTTTGTTTCGTACTTTCGCAACTAATAGTTCCTACGCGTATTATGATCCACAGGAAGATTTTGATACTCGATTTCGTTCTCTCAACGAGGATCAACTGAATATCGCCAATGAACTTATCCGTTTGAGTTCAAAGCCGGATCCTTGGATTGGTTATATAGATGGGCCTGGAGGGACTGGGAAGACATATCTGCTCAACACTTTAATTGCCTATTTCTATTCTCAAGGCAAAAAAATTGTGACCGTTGCTTCTTCCGGAATTGCATCACTTATTTTGCGCGATGCGACGACTGCTCATGCCCGGTTCAAAATTCCAGTTAAAGTTGCGTCGAACTCAATGTGCAATTTCGACGCAAAAACAAAAATTGGCCAGGACCTATGTTCCGTTGAAGTGATCATCTGGGACGAAATCTCCATGCAAAACCGACTTTGTGTCGAAGCAGTGGACCGGAGTTTACAAGACCTGCATCAGAACGACAAACCTTTCGGGGGAGTAAGTGTCATATTTGGCGGAGACTTCCGTCAAACACTTCCGGTGGTTAAAAGGGCCAACATGTTTGTTCAGGCTAAACTCTGCATGTTGAATTCTTACCTATGGCCTGGGGTGACTCAGTTTCAATTATATAGAAACGTTCGCTTGCTCGGTGTGTTGGAAACATCACCGGATTCAGACATTTCCAAATTCCAGAAGTGGCTTTTAAGCGTTGGCAGTGGTTCTTCACAGGACGATTTAATTCAAGAAATTGCTTTAGATTTTGGTAAAATCTTTGTTGAGACCTGCAAGCAGGACTTAGTCTCGGCATTGATTGATTTTGTTTACCCAAGCCTCATCAGGGATGGTTCCTCGGACCGAAATTTGACGGATTATTTTAGTTCCAGGGCTATAATTACTCCTTTAAATAAAGATGTCAAAAGCGTAAACGAGCAATGCTTATTCCTCTTACCTGGAAAAACATTGTTCTCAACTTCGATCGACCAAATGACAGATGTAACCGATAAGGGAATTCCTGAAGAGATCCTCAACACAGTATCTGTTCCAAATTTTCCAGAACATCGCTTAGCACTCAAACTTGGAATGCCGGTGATCTTACTAAGGAACCTGTGTCTAAAAGACGGCTTGGC